GAGAGGGAGGGGGAGGGGGTGTGAGCATGTGTACACAGGCAAACACAGGAGCCTTCAGAGACAAGAAAAGGGCACTGGATTTCTTAGAACTTGAATCACATCAGAGCCTAATGTAGGCAATGAAAACCGATCTCCAGGGCTCTGGAACAACAGCCAAGGCTCTTACCACTGAGCCAGGCTCTAATCTGGACTAATTTTAAAATAATGGGAATGCCAAGATAACAAAATCATTTGTGTTTGATACAAATATAATTCTTTGTAAAATTAATGTATAGGAGAAATTTTATTATCTCAAAGAAAAAAGTTACATTTTCCAGACCATCTCAGATGCACAATATTCTAAGACACCACCAGATCAGAGTCGAAAACCCAATAAAGCCAGATTGCTACCTTCATCATCTAGCCATGAGTTTCTACATCCTTGCACCAACAGACCTTTTTTTTTAATTAACCCGTTTCTATTTATCTATTATGTATACAATATTCTGTCTGTATGCCTGAAGGCCAGAAGAGGGCGCCAGACCTCTTTTACAGATGGTTGTGAGCCACCATGTGGTTGCTGGGAATTGAACTCAGGACCTTTGAAAGAGCAGGCAATACTCTTAACCACTGAGCCATCTCTCCAGCTCCCACCAACAGACCTTCTAACCAGAGTCAACAAACAGAAAACTTGTATGATTTCCTTTTCTAATAGTTTCCCAATAGCTATAGAAAGTTCTAGTAACCCTAGGAATAAAGTATGAATAATGGACAAAATTGACGCCATTCCTCTTGGGAGGGGGGATTGCTAAATGTTTAACTGAGGAAGTGTACAGTTTATCAGTCTATGAATCTCTTGTGTCTTAGTTAGGGTTTCTATTGCTGTGAAGAAACACCATGACCATGGCAACTCTTATAAAGAAAACATTTAATTGGAGTGGCTTGCTTACAGTTCAGAGGGTTAGTCCATTGTCATCATGGTGGGACATGGCAGGCACACATGGTGCTGGAGAAGGAGCTGGGGTTCCTACTTCTTGACTTTCAGGCAACAGGAAGTGGTCTGAGACATTGGACAGTATTTTGACCTTAAGAGACCTCAAAGCTCACCCCTATAGTGACACACTTCCTCCAACAAGGCCGCACCTACTTCAACAAGGCCACACCTCCTAACAGTACCCCACCCTATGAGATTATGGGGGCCAATTACATTCAAACTACCGCATTCCTCTCCCAGTCCCCCATAAACTTGTAATAATATCAAAATGCAAAACTCATTAAGTCCAACTTCAAAAGTCCCCATAGTCTATCACAGTCTCAACAATGTTTAAAGGTCCGAAGTTCAAAGTCTTAACTGTAACCCCCTATAAAACCAAAATCAAAAAGCAGATTACATATTTCCAACATATAATAGCACAGGCTATACAATACCATTCCAAAATGTAGGGCACAGTGAGGAAATACTGAACCAAAGCAAAACTGAAAACCAGCTGGGCAAACTCCAAACTCTGCATTTCTGTATCTGATGTCAAGACACTCCCCAGGTCTCCAGCTCTGTTCAGCTTTGCTGACTGCAGCACACTCTTTTTCCTGGCTGGTTCTACTCCCTGTTAGCAGCTCTGCTTGGCAGGGATCTCGAGACTCTGGCATCTCCAGTATCTTGAGGTCTCCAAGGCTATCCAGGCTTCAACTTCACAGCATCCACTTAGAGACACCTCTGCCACACGCCTGGCCTCAGCAGCTTTCCTCAGTCACAGAGGAAGGTTCCATAACATCGTTCTTCCGTCCTTAACTCCAGAACCAGTGATGGAAGCTGTCCCATTCTGCTGCTTGCTGGGGCTGGAACACGGCCCCCCTTGTCCAGTTACATCTTCGCCAGCGTTCTGGTTTTTGGGGTTTTGTTTGTTTGTTTTTGTTTGTTTGTTTTTTGTTTTTTTGTTTTTTGTTTTCGTTCTCTGCTTATGCTTGGCTGTCCTGAAACCATCTGTAGACCAGGTTGGCCTTGAACTCAGAGCTCTTTCAACTGCATCTTCACTGGCTTTCTTTTTGATGAGTTTTTCACTAACTAAACTTAGCTATTTGGAACTTGCTCTGTAGACCAGGCTAGCTTCATCTCAGAGATCCACTTGCTGGGATTAAGGTGAGCACCGCCACACCCAACTCTAAGATGTTCTTCACTTCCTTTTCACAAATTGGAAACCTAGCTGGTGGGATCTTTCCCTGAGGTCACCACTCCCTTTATTCCATTTCTTAATCTGTTTATCTCCTTGAACACAGGACTTAACTCCATTCCATTTCCTGATGCTCTTTTTTTCCTCAAATTGTACATTTTTCTTGCTCCTTTTCACTATAAATCAGTATGAGTGACCAGTAATAACCACACAACAGAGTCTATACTAGGCTGTTTTGAGATTTTCTCTGCCAGTGGAATTAATCCAACTCTCTTCACTTTAGCCTCAGGCAGACTCTTCGGACCAGGGTAAAAAATCAGCCACATTCTTCACTAAAATATCACAGGAATGATCTCTAGGCAACATATTAAAATTCTTCTCCTCTGGAACCTCTTGAGTAAGACCCCACAGTTCAAACCACTCTCAGCACCACTGTCCTCCATGCTCCTGACTGGCATGGCCCATTAAGCAGTGCGTAAATCATTCCACTGCTTTCCTAACCCAAACTCACAAAGTCCACATCCTCCAAACTAAAACATAGGTCTATCACAGCAACACTCCAGTCCCTCATACAGCCTCTGTCTTAAGGTTTCCATTGCTGTGAGGAGACACCATGACTACGGCAACTCTTATAAAGAAAACATCTCATTGTGGTGGCTGGACAATAGTTCAGAGGTTTAGTCCACCATTGTCATGGCGGGAAGCAAGGCAGTGCAGGCAGACACGGTGATAGAAAAGGAGCTGAGGATTCTTACATCTTGGCTCACAGGCAAGACGTAAGGAAGGGGGTCTATCTTACTCTGCAGGGCTTGAGCATTTATGAGACCTCAAAGCCCACCTCCACAGTGACACACTTCCTCCAACAAGACCAACCTACCCCAACAAGGCCACACCTCCTAATAATGCCACTCTCTTTGGGGGGCCGTTTTCTTTAAGCCACCACACCATAGCATCTAGTAGACTGGCCTCTGGGTACTACATTCCTTAGAGAGCATGCCCATCCACGTACACAACAGCGGACATTCTGGGCACTCAGTCGTTCCCTTGACCACATGATTTCTCTGCATTGCTATTTCTAAACAACAACAACAAGCACACACACTGGATAGTCATGTGGCTAGTCATACCTACTTTTTTGAGTTCTTCTAGTTGTAACTAAAATGAGAGGGAGGAGCTGGTGAGATACCTCAGAGAAGGAAGCTCACCCTGGGGGCTGTGGGATCCTGTTCTCTTCCTCTGTGTGCCCTGCTACAGATCCTAAACAAAGGGCTCGGTCAAGGCAGAACCTCCACAGCTGGAGCCAAATGAAACCTTCCCTCTCTGTAAGTTAATTTCCTCAGGTGCCGCATCGTCGAGATGAAGCTGACACAGGGGAGGGGGTTAGAATTGTGTTAGCATTCTGGAACCTGCCTCAGTATATAAGCGTGGGATGAAAGCGAGCATGCAAACACGTTGTAAAACAAATCCAACCCCTTCCACAATGGCCAGCATCTCCTGTAACATAATCCTTTGGGTCACTCGGCCTTCCTTTCTAAATTACAGGCAATCTGAGCAGGTGGTGAAAAACGGTGACTCAGAGACCAACTCTGGGCTGGATCTCAGCTCTCCCCACCAGCCATCACAGGGCCATCAGGTTACTGAGTCTTCGTGTGTCGTTGTCACAGGGGGCCGATCGCCTACCGATCTCATCAGGTGTCAGCGGATTAAAGATGAGACTGTATCAATCACTCAGAATACTGAGGGGCATGAGGTAAGTGCTCTGGTCTTATGTCTCCCCTATTAGAATCACCAACAATTGTTCCCCATTGCTTTGGTTCCTATGGAAAGAAGCTGAGCTTGCCTTAATGGTCTTCCAAACTAAAAACTGCAGCGTTCCTAAGCCAGCTCCATCTCCCTGGCCACACACGAGCTCCGGTAAGCTTCCTCCTTCACGTCCATTCTTTCTCCCTCGTATCGGCACCCACTTCCTCCACCCAGATCTCCCGAGCATCACTTTCAACGTCAGCATCTCTGGGACTCACTTGACTCGGCCTGCAGCCAGACTTGGAGATGCTTCAAAGGCCCCATAGGATGGGGGACAGAGACGGGGAGCTGTTTGTTTTGAAGTACTAAATATCCCGGGTGAGACGCCTTGTTTCCAAGTATTTATCTCCTCCACAAACCAACTGTTGCAGGCCTTGCTGCCAGCCTGGTAAAGGCCTTTACCATGTATGACACCAGAAAGGTTGGGACAGCTACAAGGCCTTCAGTTTCCCTGGAGATGCAAGGTCCATGAAAGGCTATGTATCACCACAGCAACCAGACTACAAACACGTCCGTGGGCTTTAGCCTGGACCTCTGGTAAAGCAATCTGGACACCATGAAAAGGCCAGGGCACCGGAATTGAAAGAGGATCAAAGTCAACATTGCACCTCAAGCTCCGTGTGCTGATCCCAAGGCCTCAAGTGAAACATCAAAGCCGTGTTAGGAGAGCTGCATGTCACAGCCAAGCATGTGCCAGGCTGAGCCTCCCCGCCTCAATGTGAAGGTCTGCGTAGGAGCTCATGCATGGTACATTTCCCAAAGCAACCGTTTCAAATTTGGCCTAAGAGCAAGGCAGGGTAAAGATGTATGTCCTTAGATCAAGTTACCCAAGCAAGCTGCAGCAGCTGTTGGTCCTGACTCTGGATGAAATAATAAGGGCGGGAGTGGTTTTCCAGATAAAATGTTAGGCGGGTTTTATCCCAAGATGACCTTAAATGGACTAATTCCTACAGATTTAACAAAACAAAACAAAACAAAAACCTTCCTTAGCAGGCCAGATAACTCAGTGGGTGAGGATGACTCCTACCAAGCCGGACCTAAGTTCTGTTCCTCCATTCCACCCTGCAAGCCCCACACATGGTCACTTGCAATGCCAAAGCCCGTGGCTCTCGGAGCGACTGGTGGGGTAGAGAGCAACTCTTCAGTGCACACCCTTAGGAATGGATGGAGGTAAGGGTGAACAAGGGGCCGGTGTGACTCAGTTATCACGGCCACAGTGCGAGGTCACACTAACGTTTTTTATTTGCACAAATATACAAGGGACAATTGGCAAAAAATGAACTAGCCAAAGAGAATGCAAGAGAGAAAAAGTGGTCCTGTCTCAGCGAGGGAAAAGACCACAAATTAATTTATCTAGTTTTCTCCCATGGGGTGAATTGTCACAGTGGCTCCTTCTCTGTGCTTTGCTGAGCCCACTCTAGGGCAGTGTGTGCCCTGGAGCTTTCCCTGGTGGTGAGCTGCAGCTGCTCCTAAGGGGAAGCACCCTGTGTGGCATCCTTCTAAGAGGTGGTGCAGACGAGGTGGTGGCCTCAAGACAAGGTTGCTTACTGGCTCTTGTTCACTTTTTTTAGAGATGCTTTTGACAAGAGGGCTGCATGGCTGAGACTGGGTTTCAGGAGGCCTGAGCTGTCTGTTTTGTACTGAAATATATAGCTTCTAATATGTTCAGGTAAGTTTTTTAAAAAGTCAAGAGCAAATGAAAATGACACAGCCATGGTGCCAGGGTCTAAAAATATAATTTTGATGGCATCAGTCTTTCCTTAAAGGGGACAGAGGCAAATCTTGATTAGGGCGCCGTTAGGGACGTGTGGGAGGGGGGGTCTGGGGAGTCTCTGTTCCCCACTGTTTACTTCTTCCTGGCGCATATACATATTCTCCACTGGCTGTTCTGCAAGCAAAGAGAATGAAATCAGAATCTGCGAGAGGCTTGGCTACTGCAAGAACACTGGTAAAAACCACAGATGAGACCAGAGCCCCAAATGAAATGTGTGTGTAATAAAATGAGAAGAGAGCTTGTGATATTCCACTCCAGGTGTCGAAAAAACAAACCCGAGGGGGTGCTGAGGTGTCCAAGTCTCACAGCTGGTGACTGAGACAAGAACCCCAGCACCCACTCATCACCTGGCCTCTACTGGCCTGCCAGCCAGCTCTTAAACAGCCACACCTCTGTTATTGTGAAACAGACTCTGTGGGTCTTTGGAATTCAAGACCAGCTCTTAAGCCACTGGTTAAGAACACAGAGACTAAGAAACACAAAGAAACAACATCCAGACATAGTAACACACAGCTGTAAGCCTAGTACTAGGATAGGGCATGCGTTCAAAGCCAGCCTGAGCTACACAGTGAGACCTTGTCTCGAAAAACAAGGATAAATGGGTGAGGGGAGGGGAATCAAGAGGGGATAAGAAGCGTAGCTTTTATTAGTTTGTCTCCAACTTTTATTAGTTTGTCTCCAACTTAGAGCGCACCTCACAGAAAACATGGAGTTGTTACATGAAGTAAAACATGGAGACAAAGGAAAGATCGCTCACCATGTGGGGTTCGGTTATAGCTTGATGCGAGGACATCTTCTCATTTACGGTTTTATAAAATGAAAGAGAAAAGAAAACAGAAAGCCTATTCAAAGGCTTCTCTCTACAGCGCATCTCCTGGGCACCTCTGATAAAGTAATGTTTTTAAATGAGTCAAGAGAGGCAAGAACTCAAGACCACTTAGAGTACACTCCCAGCTCACCTGGATGCTCCAACCGGAGCCTAGCACCGCTGAGTCTGGGGGAAAGTGAAATGATACATTCTGTTATTGAAACATTTTCCAATATTTGTTTCCAAATGCAACTCCACGGTCTTTTCCCTGTAAAGGGCAAAACACCAACTTGTTTCTAAGCTACTTAGTAATATTTTGGCACAAATAACCCAGTAAAGAGAGCAGTTTGGATAAACATTAGCCATGATAGTGGTCCCCAACCTGTCCCTCTTCTTAAGCCCCTCACGTGTAGATGACGATGCAGCCATCCAGGTGGCTGTTTCCTGGCAGCTCAGATTTACCTCCTATGATTATGTCAATGGACAAAACCCAGAACAACACTGAATGAAGCCCACATTAAAAAAAAAGCAGCAGGGGGGGGGGCGCTCACTAAATGGAGGAGGGAGCAAGGGAAGAGAAGCATGCTGTCTGCTGTATGTTTGCTCTGTTTGGCAAAATCCTTTAAGCCACAGGCACAGGACTGCCAGCGCCTGGCCAACAACAGGTGTGTAGCAAATAATGGGTTAACGGTTGAAGAACCATGGATCCCTCAGGGAAATCCGTCTTGCCTACTATCACTAACCTGGCATGAGAACTCTTAGGAGCCCCTGAATTCCAATGACCACTGGGAGCCTCCATTCCCACGCCAGCATAAGGAACTAAGCACATAGCCCTTGTGCTGAGAAGACAGGATAAAACAGTGTTTGTGTAGTTCACGGCTTGGGGGCAGTGTGCTGGTGCCATGATCGCCCATCACAAGTTTTGATGACAGCGACACTCACTTTGCTTCTTAATAAAGAGATACTTGTTTCTGCCATTTGTGGGTCTTTGCTTTCCTCCTGGGACCTGAGCTTATTGAAGGATCAGGAGGTAGAGCCTGGCAGGTCACGAGCCATCACCCTCGCCCTGGCTGGCGCGTCTCACTACTTCCTCAGCCCGCGTAAGCATGCACAGGCCTGGGGCTCGCTCTGCAACAGCTCTGCCATTTTCAGAAGTTTTAGAGAATACTGCTTTTATTCAGTAGCTCCCCATGCCCAGGGCCTCGTCTGCTCAAAAGTCCTGAACAGAAACTCAGTCACCTATGCTTTTTGCCTTTCAGCCCTGGGGCACCCCTTCTGGAGAGCCAGGAGCAGAGGAACCGCTAGACTAAAGCGACGAGCTGCTTCCCTGATGGCTGGGCTCACCTGGCGGTGGTGGTGGTGAGGGAACGCTGTGGTTTGCTCTAGATCTGTAACTGGGAAGCTTGGGGACAAGTGTTTATGTTCAGAGGCTTAAAGACACCCTCCCTTTAGATCCTAAATTACCTAAATTATCCTGCCCAGTGTTAAAGATATTAACTCAGCTGGCCTCAATGACCCGCAGTACAGCTGGAACACTTGTCTCTGCACACGCTCCAGAGGGCCAGCAGGCACAAGCTGTCAGGGCTGTGGAGCACTTGCTGTCCTCATCCACTCGCCTCTGCTTTATTTACCAGTCTCCTTGCTGGTCCTGGAAAATTCTGCCTCCGTCCCCCAGCCAAACCACATCCCTATTTCAAAGGTCTCCAAATTCTCACCTCCAAAAAGCAGGGCCAGGTTAATACACCTGGCTCCAATTACTCCAGCGGGGCCCGTCCAACAGGCTGGATGACTGAGAGCGTGTTTACCTCAGCCCAGCTGGAGCTGATTACCGCTATGGTTAACCTTCTGTTGTGTGTGTGGAAGGCGATGTTACTCTCCGTCTCTGTCCTTTCTTTCTCCCTGGGCAGAGCAGGGAATTCTGAGCTCTGTTCCTGCTTCCCTCATCAGTCCCACAATGCCCCGCACAGTCCTGGAAGCGGGCACGGCCCGCTGTCCAAATGCCTGCTTCTAATTTCTGCAGAGAGGGTCTTTGGTTTAGCAAACTGAAATGATTCCAATAAACAAAAGAAAGGGAGATTCAGGAGGGCAGGCGTTCTGTCCTGGCAGAACAGCAGGGCGCTCTGGAAAACCGTGGAGTGCTCAGCACTGGGGGAGATCTAAGCACTGAACTTGAAAGTGTTTTTCCAAGCGCTGAGAGGAAGCGCGCCCCCAGATCTGTAAACCCTGTGTCACCTAATCTTCTGTTTTAAGTAAGTCACTGGTTCAGCTATGAGGTGGCTCCTTGGCCACTTCTGCTGAGAGTGTCTTTAAGGACTGTTTCTCTAGTTTACCAGTTCCAGAAACACTTTCCATTCTCTTGCCCTGTTCTCACTAGATGCAAATTACCCCCCTTTCATTCTGGGGGCCTGGGCTAGTTTCATTAAAAATACAATCTTAATTCCCAGTATAGACTCAGAAAACCACAGCACGGGAGGAAAGCTGAAGAGTTCAGTCTCACCAGGGCCTTCCTAAGGGCGAGAACGGAAACTGATTCCCAGCTCTATGAACATACCAGAATTTCAGCAAGGAGATGGGGGACAGGGCTGATGTAGCTTGAGGAAGCACCTGCCACACACACAGACACACACACACACCACACACAGACACACACCACACACAAACAGACACACACACCACACACACACATACACAAACCCAGGGCTGGGTCCTAACACCAGCACAGGGAAAGGAAGATCATAGATAGACTCCATAATGTCTTTTATACCATGAAGCCTTGGTCTAGAACTACTGGGGCCAGTGAGGTGGCACAGGGGGTAAAGGTGCTTGCTGCCAAGCCTGCCAACCGAGTCACACAAGCTGTTCTCTGCTATACTGCGATGGTGGCACCCACTCACCCCCCATACACATAGACACACAAATAATTAGTGTAATAATAATTTCTAAGGAAACATTATTTTATGCCTGTACAATAGGCCTCTACAATAGTCAGCTATCAGTACCTGGATTTTCCAGAAAATGTAATTAATGGGAATTTTAATTGTAAACATGGCAGTTCATGCCTGTGATCCCGGGGCATAGGAGGTGGAGGTCAGAGTTTGTTAGTTTGTGGCTAACCTCAGCTATACAGTAAGGCATTGTTTAAAAAACTAACCAAATATTTGCTAAAGTTAAACTGTGTATTAATATATGTATTTATTCACTCAAAGCATTTATTTCATAAATATTTAAGTGCCGACTATGTGTTAGGTATCATTTTAGTTGATGGAAATATCAGAGGACAGAAAACGTCTATTATTATGGGTATTCATCTTGAAGAGACGGAAAGCGAGCATGTTTGGGAGTCTTTTTTTTTAAGATTTTATTTATTATGTATACAACATTCTGCCTCCATGTATGCCCGCATGCCAGAAGAGGGCACCAGATCTCATTACAGATGGTTGTGAGCCACCATGTGGTTGCTGGGAATTGAACTCAGGACCTCTGGAAGAGCAGCTAGTGCTCTTAAACACTGAGCCATCTCTCCAGCCCCCCATGTTTGGGAGTCTTGGGTGATGATATAAATCGTTTCAAAGATAAACCAGGGTGGAACATGTGGCAAGTGGGATGTGAGAGAGGACTGGTACTGTAAATGGGAGACCAGTGAGGGCCTCTCTGCAGATGGAATGAAGGAGCAACACTGATGAAAACCTCTCAGATAACTGGGAAAGATGCCCCAGGTCCCCGCAAGGAAAGGAGGAAGGGGTCAGAGTCAATGATCCCAATACAGTGATCAATAAATGGTAAAATGCTGGGAGAGGAACTGGCCGATCATTGAGACCCTGGGATGGTGTGGGATTCCCCTCTGTACGCTGTGAATGACATTGGCTAATAAAGAAACTGTCTTAGGCCTGTGATAGGGTAGAGCAGAGCTAGGTGGGGGAAACTAGACTGAATGCTGGGAGGAAGAAGGCAGAGTCAGGGAGAAGCCATGGACCTATGGCTTCATGTGCTGTAGCCAGATGTGCTGAAGCTTTGCTGGTAGGCCACAACCTCATGGTGATGCACAGATTAATGGAGATGGGTTAAATTACGATGTAAGAGTTAGCCAATAAGAAGCTAGAGCTAAAGGGCCAAGCAGTGATTTAAATAATACAGTTTCTGTGTGATTATTTCGGGAGTCTGGGTAATCTGGAAATGAACAAGCGACCTCCTCCAACACTGAGAGGGATTGAGATTTATTCTAGATATAAGAAACCAGCTTAAAAAGCCGAATGGGTGGATTCTGTGATCGGGCCTAATTTTTAAAGAATTGTGTTTGGCTTTTGTTCAGAGAACACATCTTATTAGCCAATAAAGATAGTGACTGGCATTTATTGAGTGATGGTTTGATTCCTGCCACTGTTCTGTTGTCTTTTAATTATTTCTGTCACAGTGACCCTATGAAGCAGATGATATTATCCCAGGAAATGAGGCAGAGAAGTGACCTGGGCCAAAGCGAAGACCTGGCTCCCAGTGTGAGCGTCCTCCTCAGACCCTGAACTCTCAAAAGAGTGGGTTAGAAGCCTACCACATATCAGATGTGAACACAGTGGTGCAAACCACAGGGAGAAGTTGAAGGCAGGAAGATTCTGGAAGTGAGAGATAACACTAAGGCGTTGGGGTTTTCGCCACTGACTGGTAGGTGCTCTTTCCAGAGAAGGAAAACACACAGACGGAACAAATTTGAGACAAGGTTGTTTGAAATTCAGAATAATTCTCCAAACTTGATAAGATAAGATATACATTTCATGTGGCTGCTGTAACAAGTAATGAAAAATGTAGTGACTTAAACAACAGAAATTTATCCTCTCGCTGTTTTGAAGGCCAGAGTTTCCCCAATCAGTATTGCTGGGCCCAAATCCAGGGATATCTGGAGATTCTCTCCTTCCACAAGCTCTAGGAAACAAGTTTCCACTGGTCTCTTCCGGTTCCTCAGTACTGCTGGTGTCCTTCAGTTTGTGACCCCATCTCTCTAACCCCTCTTCTGGCAATGTCATCAAATCTTACAAGGAAACTGGTGGCTGAATTTGGAATGCATAGGTAATATCCCCCGTTGGAAGGTTCTCCATTATACCCGCAAGACTCTGTAGAAGGTAACATTCACATGTTTGGGGAGTCTGATCATAGGCATATCTTTGGAGGTGAATAGAGATGACAAGACACTTTTCCCTTCTGCATGAGAATTTGATCTCCTGTAAATTCTCTTAATTCTGTAAACCTGGCATGCCAATCACAACACCCATATATTTGCTAGAAAATATTAAATATCTGTCAGGGAGCAACGTGAGCAGGCTTCCTGGGATCACTGGCTTTGTATATTATTCCTATGGAGCAAAGCTCCTGGGCAGGGGTAGGACATAAGACTTTTACATTAGGGTAACACACATACAACTGCAGGTGCATGCATATGAGAGCACACATGTACGCACATGCACACATGCACACCCTGCACGCAATACAAACATGCCCACGTGCGTGCACATACAGAGCTGCAAGAACATGCCTGAGTATACACACGCACAGGTACACACACACGCATGCACGCAAGCACACACATGCTCTCACATGCACACATGCACATACACAGAGGGACTGCTGTCCTTCCACAAGTTATCATCCCTGTCCTAGATCCTCTTGAATACACTAAAGTCACCTGTGTCTCAGATCTGAACAGTTCTCTAAACCCAAGAAGACAGCCCTGTAACGTACGTGTCTGTGGCCACAGGTTATAAACGTCATTTTAGTTAATTACTTCCGTTTCTTTCTTTACCACAGTTACCAGAGAGGTCAGAAGCAGAACATCCTGGGGTGGCCTCACTCATTAGCAGCAAAATGACTGACAAAAATGGGGGGGGTCTGGAAAAGAAAAGTATAGTAAACAAACAAAAGGCAGAATTTCAGAATTGCACGGGGAGCAGAGCCCAGCACCTACAGACGACTGCGCCATGTTCTTGCACTGTGCCTTCAGAGGGCCTCTCGCAGGATTACATGCAAAATCCTCAACCCACATCTCTGCTGGAAGTGCACAAGCAGGCTCATTACTCAGAGCCAAGATAAAGAAGAAATCTTTATGAGTACCGTAAGTATGAGTCATAAAAAATAGGAAACACATGTGGAGCATATGCTCAGTAACGGTACTGAGCCAGGAAAAGCGTTTGGGAAACATATATAAGAGCACGTGGCAGAACTGGACTCGGAATCACCTTTGCACGTTGATCCAACAACACGCCTAAGAAGCTCGCGGCAAGTCATGGGTTTGTTTATCACTCCGGTCTCTAGCAAACACAAGTCACTTCCCCCATAAGCAAACAAGTTGGGCTTTTTAAAATGCAAATATGAGGAAAGCTGAATCAATAAAATGTAACTCGGGGCAGACTTTGAAAGATTTTATGATTTGGGAAATTTGAACGGCTTCCAATTAAAACACTGAGAATTAAATCTTCAACAGCATGAAAAAAGGAACAAGATTCTTTCACAGTGGTG